CCCGGCACCCTTGTCCAAAACAGTCCAGTGGCACCTTTAAGGCCAAGTTTTATTCAGGCACAAGCTCTCCCTCCTCTGCGAGGACAGATCTGCACGCCCCCCCCCCCAATAGCTAGCAATCCAAAACAGTCCAGTGGAGCCTGAGTGTTGCCTTCTGACACACTTCCGGTGATGTCAGGGGGTGTGGCATATGCAAATGAGTTGTGCTAATGAGCTATGCCAATATGCTCCTGCACCTCTTTTTCTATGAGGTGGGCGGGGCTTAGAGATCTCTTTCGAGGACAGCTCTTGTCAGAACTACGGCTTGCCGAAGGTCATCCAGCTGAATAAAGCCTGCCCCCGCTTCCTAACTGTAAGGGTGGTTGAGCAGTGGAACAGTCTGCTTTGGGAGGTGGTGGAGGCTCCTTTGCTGGACGTTTCCAAGCGGAGGCTGGACGACCCTCTTTCGGGTATGTTGTGGGGCTATCTTTCGGCTCTGCTCCTGCAGAGTGCAGGGGGTTGTTGGACTAGATGACCTGCAAGGTCCCTTCCAACTCTAACACTCTATGATTCTATGGACGGGACCTCCAGGGTCATCTAGTCCAGCCCCCTGCACAATGCAGGAAATTCACAAATACCTCCCCCTCCACCCCCGCAGTGACTGCTGTTCCCCGTGCAGAAGGTGACAAAAAATCTCCAGGATGGCTTCCTGGCCCCAAAGTGGCGATCGGCATTTCCCTGGGCGTGTAAGAAAGGGGCCACGAGAACTAAGCACTGAGGCAACCCTTCCTGCCCTCCCTCTCGTGATCCGCCTAAGTTATGCGCAGGGGAGAGAGAGAGAGAACTTTCTATTCCTCTCCCAAAATAGTAGGGCAGTCAATGAAACAGATGAGAAATAGATTCTTTGAAGAGGGTGGGATTCGCTGCCTGAGGATGTTGTGATGGCCACGGGCATGGACGATGGCTGGAAAAGATTAGACAGATCCCTGGAGGAGAGAGAGAGACCCATCCGCAATGCTCCCTCTAAGCCATGGAGTCTTGTGAGCAAAAATTCTACATTGTGACTGAGTGGCCTTAAAGTTGTGAGTGAGCGATTTGGCTCCTGCATAAATCAGTTTGCTCTGGAGCCATCCCTTCCCGAGTGAAGACAAAAGTGTGACCGATTTCCCCGCGGTTTCGTGATCCTGTTTTTTGAGGATTACGAAACCGCGGGCAAAATCGGGCAAAGCCGTGGGTCAAAATGCGGCCGCGCTTCTTCGAGTGGGAAATTGACATGTACCATCGGGGCAAAGAGACGAGCGAGCGCAGAGCAGCGGCTGTGGGAAACTGGTATGTGTAAGCCGGAGGCTAAAAACCTGTGAGTGTGCTCACACTAACTCAGCTTAGAGGGAACACTGCCCATCAGTGGCTACTGGCCTTGGGGACTAAAGGGAGCCTCCATCTTCAGAGGCAGTCTACCTCTCCGTCCCAGGGCCAGGAGGCAACTTCAGGGGAAGGCTTCAGCCTTTCAGCATTTTCCTCCCAATGCCAGAAGTCATCTGGGCTGGCAAATGCTGGTGTGCCCTTCCGGGCAGGGGGAAGCCTAACTTTAGGGAAACGGGCCGGTTTTGCTACCATCTCTGGAGGCGGCAGGCGCAGCAGCTCCGCTTGCTGTCTGGTACAAAGAGCCCCTGTCCCCGTGCTGCCAAACAGCACAGCGGCCCCCTCCCCCCGGGGGGGCTGTGTTACTGCCTATCCCCACCATGCAAACACCCCCCTCTGCCTCTGCTTGTAGGTGTTTCCGAGGAGGCTCCATGGAGGATTCCACCCGCCTGGGCTACTGCGTGGTGGCCGCCAGCTTCGTGGCCTTCCAGTTCTGCTTCTCGGCCGCCAGCCCCCAGCTCTCCCTGTCGCTCTGCCCCGGCTACTCCGCCCTCCCCCCTGTCAAGCGGAGTGAGTGGAACTCCAGGTACCGTCTGTGTCTGCCTGCCTGTGGGGGCAGAGGAGAGCGCGAGGCCTTTGTGGGGAGGAGGGCAGAAGCAAGAGAGGGCGGTTCTGCACCTGGCGCTCGCTCCCCATTTTCTCAACTGGGAGGGGAAAGTGCAGCTCAAAACCACATTCAGATACCCCAGGGCAAGGCCATTGTGACTGCAAAGTCGCCCCCGAACAGCCATCAATCTATGCAGAAGGTGCCGTAACACCTGAGGATCAAAGAAAGTGAAAGCGGCATGCAGCTGTGGAGGCTGCCACAAAACCCGATGGTCAAAGAAAGCGAAAGCGGCATGCAGTGCAGAGGGGGATTTCTGTTCCAACGTGGGTTTCGTAGAACAATGGAGTGAAAAGCCAATGCAGAATCAGCCCAGAGAGACCTGGTTGCTGTGCAAGGAACTGCCCTTTTTTTTTTGTCTGTACGAGAGAAGCAGAGAGCGAGGAGATGTGTGTGCGCAGGGCCGGCTCACTCACTAGGCGAACTAGGCATTCGCCTAGAGTGCTGGGCCCTGGATGGGGCGCCGAGCTGTGCCTTCCCCCCCCCCTTGCCAAAAGCCCGCGAGCAGCTCTCCAAGTGTCAGCACTTCGCTAATTGGGGAGAGGTATTTGGTGAGCAGCCCACGCCTGGAGACAGGATCCCCCCCCACACCTCCCTCCCAAACTGCCTTCGGAAGCGGAGCTCTCTTCCATCTTGGAGGTTGCTGCAGGAACATGTGGGGCGTGTTCGTTGGGTCTGACAGCTGCGGGGGGGAGGAGGCGGTTGCGGCGGTAGCAAAAGGGTGGCTGGCTCCAGGCCCCACCAGGAGGTTGGCATCTGCGCCACAAGGCAGCCTTGCCTAGGGCGCAGAAACACCTCGAGCCGGCCCTGTGTGTGCGTGTGCTTGTGTGTGTGCAAGAGCTGTCACCCCCGGGTAACCCTCGCATGTGCTCCTCCCCAGATGTGTCTCCACTGTGCACGCAATGGTGGTCGGCCTCTTCTGCCTGTACATCCTGTGGTACGATGACGCCGTCAACGCCAACCCCATCTGGTAAGAGTCGGGACCCGGCAGCCCGTCCAGCTCAGCCACGCGTTGTCGGAAGGAGAACTGGAGGATCCAGCAGAGGAGGAGGAGGAGGGAGGGAGGAAGGAAGGGCCCGGGAGCTTGTGTGGTCATGTGGAAAGCTGTGAAGGGCTGTTTTGTGCGGCAGGACAATGGCCCCTTGTTCCTCCAGGGATTTGGGATTGGGAAAGGGGGCAGGGAGTTGCTCTTGGCAGGACTGGCACGGGGCCTAAAGAGATGCCTGCTCCCTGCCCAAGCCAAAGTCAGTCTCTCTCTCTCTCTCTCTCTCTCTCTCTCTCTCTCTCTCTCTGCCTCCTTTCCTTTCCACTGCTTGCAACGCACATGACCATGCTTTGCTTTCCCACTAGTCTCCCCTTGCTTCTCAGGGGGCTGGCTGGTACAAGCCCCTGAAGCTCAGCCATGTCATTATCAGGTGTGGTCGAAGGATGCGTGTACCAGGCGATGACCCCCCTCAAGGGCTTTGCACGGCAAGGGACGTTCAGGGGTGGTTTCTGCCCTTGCCTGCTTCTGCACAGCAGCCCTGGGCTTCCTTGGGGGTCTCCCATCCGAGTACGGACCAGGGCCGGCCCTGCTTAGTGCTTCAGAGATCTGATGAGATCTGTCTAGCCTGGGCCACCCCGGTTAGGGCAGGAGACGCACAGAGGTGTTTCGACATTGCCTGCCTCTGCGTAGCAACCCTGGGCTTCCTCAGTCTCTGCACAGCCGTTTGTCCCTGTTTGGACCCCTTCTGCCCAGCCTAGGAGATGGGGTGCTGCCTCTGGGAGCAGCTGGGGGGCAGGGAATGGGCACACTCCTAACCCTGTGGGGGAGGACTGAGAGCCTGACGCGAGAGCAGCCACATCACCCCCTCTGCCTCTCGCTCTTCCTCTTCTCCCTGCAGGGGGGAGCCCCGCCTGGTCAAGCTGAATGTCGCCATCACCTGCGGCTACCTGCTGTATGGTAAGTCGTGTGCTCCCCTGTTTCCCTCTGTGGGGCCCGCAACGCGCAGTGTTCCCTCTAAGCCAGGGGTGTCGGACTCATTTGTTATGAGGGGCGGATCTGACATAAATGAGACCTTGTTGGGCCGGAATCACGTGTGTGACATAAAAGGGAATGCCAGGTAGCGGAGATATCGACTTGATAAAGGACACAAACACAAAGGTGTTTTTTTTTAACTTAAAATCATGCTTAAAGCATGAGCACTCTTGCAACATTTTGTTCATTTAACAGTGTCTGATAACCGACACCTCTTGCTCTGAATTATTGCATCGAAATGTCTGTGCTGTTGCAGTCTTGAGTATGCTGTTCAGGTGTGTGTCTGTAAGCTGCAAACCTACGATGACGCAGCAGCAGCAGAACCGGAAGAAGCAGCAGAAGACAGCCAGTTCCACTGCGGGCCTGAGAGAAGCCCTCCGAGGGCCTGGTCTGGCCCCTGGGCCACATGTTTGACACCCTTGCTCTAAGCTATGCACATGAGCATATAAAGGTAAAGGTAAAGGTTCCCTTGCTCAACAGCCAGTCGAATCCGACTCTAGGGTTGCGGTGCTCATCTCCGTTTCAAAGCCGAAGAGCCAGCCTTGCAACATTTTGTTTATTTAACAGTGTCGGATAACCGACACCTCTTGCTCTGAATTATTGCCTCGAAATGTCTGTGCTGTTGCGGTCTTGAGTATGCTGTTGAGGTGTGTATCTGTAAGCTGCAAACCTACAATGATGCAGCCGCAGCAGCAGAACTGGAAGAAGCAGCAGAAGACAGCCAGTTCCACTGCGGGCCTGAGAGAAGCCCTCCGTGGGCCCGGCCCGGCCCCTGGGCCGCATGTTTGACACCCCTTGCTCTAAGCTGTGCACATGAGCATAGGAAGCTCATTAACCAGGAAGCGCCCCTCAGCAGCTATTTGCCCATGGCCCATTTTAAGAGGACAGCAGTTATTTTCTGCTCAGGATGTGAGCTGCTCCACTCAGAAGGGGGGAAGAATCAGAGGGAGCTTTGCCCACGAGTGAGTCTCTGGGGACTGCCCCTAGCCCCAGCCATTCGGCCCAAGCGATGGTGGCTGTGGTGGGTCCCTCTGATCCTCTTTGGGGACGGCCTTCTTCCTCCGTGTCCCCCTCCCCCTCCTGGGAATATCCTTGCAAGCGTCTCCTGCACCAGCCCCCTCCAGCAGGAACGGCTGGAAATGAAGAGCCAGAAAAGCCCGCGGCTGCCTGCTCCCCCCTCGGGATAAGGCAGTCTTGGAAGGGGTGGGGGGGGAAACCGGCTGCCTCTCCCCGTCACCTGTGAGGTGCAGCACAGGTCTTTTTTTGCAGGGGGGGGGGCAGGCTCTGCTGTCCCACAAGGGGGTGTTGGAAGGGAGCGACTCAGCATGCCTGGACATTGGGGGGGGGGCAATGCTCCCTCTAAGCTGTGGAGTCTTATGAGCAAAAACTCTATGAGCTACTAGCATTCAAGTTGTGAGTGAGCGATTTGGCTCCTGCCTAAATCAGTTTGCTCTGGAGCCCTCCTTCCTGAGCTGAGACAAAAATCTGCGAGCCAGAGGCTAAAGAACTGTGAGCTAGCTCACACTCACTCAGCTTATAGGGAACACTGGGGGAGGGTGCTGCATCACTCTGAGGGTGTAGAGGTGGTCCTCTCCTTGACGAGGATGCTTCCCTTTGTCTCCCTCCGAGCCCTCCTCTCCTCTCCTCTCCCTTTGTCCTCTCCCTCTCTTGACATGGCCTTCCATGGGGATCACACATCTCTGCAGGCCTCTCCTGTGGAAGCAGCGCCCTCGTACTCCCACACACACACGTGGTGCAGATGCCGGATACGGTGGCCATTTGTGAAAGGGAGATTCAGGTGGGGAAGCCTTGTTGGTCTGAAGCAGCGGGACAGAGTTTGAGTCCAGCCAGGCACCTTTCAGACCAACCGAGTTCCATTCAAAGTATACGCTTTCCTGTGCAAAGTGCGCTTGCATAAATAAAGTTTTTGTTGGTCTTAAAGGTGGCACTGGACTCAAACTTTGTTGTGAAAGGGGAAGGACTTTTTTAGATTCGGCTTCTCTCTCTTCTTTTGACCGCAACCTGAATGTGAACTTGAATCTACTTGAATCAATGCAAGTTTACCTTTTTTTTGCAATCTACTTTGCGGGAGATTTATTTACTGCACCCAGAACACTTCTGGGCTGGTGCTGCGGGATCATCCGTGACTTGTCAGGTTTCCTCGGCAGATTTTAAGTGTGTGTGTGTGGAGAGGGGGGGAGAGAGAGAGAGAGAGAGAGAGAGAACTAGTTGTGCTGCATGCCGAAATGAGTGGCCAGAACGCCAGCCAGCATCTCTTCCCCTCCCCCAGCTCTCCTCCTGTGCCCCTAGCCACAGCTCAGGACGTGGCAAGAGCATCTCTGGCAGGGGTGGCAAGAGCGTCTCTGGGCGATTCTGCATCTGGCATTTGCTCCGCATTTTCTCAGCACTGAGGAAAAGGTGCAGCTCAAAGCCACATCCATATATCCCGGGGCAACCGTTGCACTGACTCCAAAGTCACCCCTGAAAGGCAGGGGTCGTTTCGTAGAAAAAGAGCTAGAGGAACTCATTAGCATAACTCGTTAGCATATGCCACACCCCCTGTCATCACCGGAAGTGTGTCATAAGGCCACACCCCCTGACATCACCGGAAGTGTGTCATAAGGCCACACACCCCGCCCCCAACGGTCCCGGCCGGCGGGAGTGCAAGGAAGCCCCGCGAAGGCCCTCCCTGGCCCCAGGCAGGCAGGGGTGGGGAGAGGCAGGGAGGAAGCAACTTACCCTCCCTCTTCTCCTGCCTCCTCCTGGCTGAATGAGGGCTGGAAGCGGGGCGGCCGGAAGCAGGGGGCGGGGCTTCGTCATGTGCCCCGCCCCCCCATACCTCACCCGGGGGAACTGCGATCCCCCCGAAATAACCTCTGCTGAAAGGCCATAAATCTACGCAGAAGGTACCATCAAATCCAATGAGAAAAGAAAGCAAAAGCAGCATGCCATGCAGAGGGGAATTTCTGTTCCAATGTGGGTTTGCTAAAACAATGGAGGGAAAAGCTGGTGCCGAATCGCCCTCTGTCCGTTTACGTTTCTGCCAGGCGACGGCTGGGTGCAGGCAGGGCCAGAACGAACAGGGGGCTACCCCGGCCTGTGGTCAGTCCCCCCCCTCCTGGGCTTCGCTTGGACCCGCGTCCTGCCCATTCTGGTCCTGGCAAATCAACTCTCCTTCTGTGTTTGTGTTCTGGGTTCTAGATCTGTTGTTGCTCATCCGCTACTGGAGGACCCTGGGAGATTCTCTCTTTGTGTGTCACCACCTGGCGGCGCTGTATGCCTACGGATACGTGCTGGTCAGTGCTTTGCCGCCTTGCTGCGAACGCGCCTTTCCCTTTATTCTCTGAAGATAGATCCAGTTGTGTCGGTCTGAAGCAGCAGAACAAATTTAGACTCCAGTCGGGCACCTTTAAGACCAACAAAGGCTTATTCAAGGTGTGAACTTTCGTGTCCGTGCACACTTCTTTGAATGCACTGGAAAGGAAGGTAGAGTTCAGACTTATAGACAGAGGCCTTATAACCTTTTTTGTTGTTCAGTCGCACAGTCGAGTCCGACTCTTCGCGACCTTAGCTTGTTACTTCTTCTTTTTTAGAGACGCCAATGTTGGAACAGGCCAAAGGCCCATCCAGTCCAACACTCTGTGTCACACAGTGGCCAAAAATACCAGGGGCCATCAGGAGGTCCAGCAGTGGGGCCAGGAGGACACTAGAAGCCCTCCCACTGTTGCCCCCCCCAGCACCAAGAAGACAGAGCATCACTTGCCCCAGAGCCCCTATCTATACCTTGTGGCTAATAGCCTCCGATGGACCTCTGCTCCATATCTAATTCCCTTTTGAAGCCGTCCATGCTTGTAGCCGCCACCACTTCCTGTGGCAGTGAGTCCCGTGTGTTCATCACTCTTTGGGTGAAGAAGGACTTCCTTTTATCTGTTCTAACCCGACTGCTCAGCAATTTCATGGAGTGCCCACGAGTTCTCGTATGGTGAGAAAGGGAGAAAAGTACCTCTTTCTCTACCTGTTCTTTCCATGCATCATCTTGTAAACCTCAATCATGTACTTAGTTTTGTCTTTGCTTATCTTAAAGCATCTTCATCATGTTGCATGTTCATTTGCTGCTCAGCCCCTGTCGGTAAGTTTGAACTGTAGCTTCCTTTCCAGTGTATTTGGAAAAGTGTGCTTTGCCCCCCAAAGCTCACACCTTGAATAAACCTTTGCTGGTCTTAAAGGTGCCCCCGCTGGACTCTGCATTTGCAGCCTTTATTCTCTGAATGGCTCTGGGCCGAATCCTGGGCTTCATTCCTCTCCTCCTCTGCCGCTGTCAATACAACGTCCCACTCGTTCGCTCCCAGGCCACACAGACTGCCTCTGGGCTCCCAACGGAAGAGAGCAAAGCGTGGGAGCTGGACCCAGGGAGAATCAGGGATGAAGGTGTCCAACTTCCGCCCGTAATCTGGAGGACAGGGAGTAGAATTCCCACGCAGCCAGGATTACAGATGACAGAGTTACATGCACTCAGGATTACAGGACAGTCTACCTCGGGAGGTGGTGGGTGCTCCTTCGCTGGACGTTTTCAAATGGAGGCTGGATGACCATCTTTCAGGTGTGTTGTAGGTATGTGGGGCTGTAGGTCTCTTTTTCGGCTCTGCTCCTGCAGAGTGCAGGGGGTTGGACTAGATGACCTGCAAGGTCCCTTCCAACTCTAACATTCTATGATTCCAAGAGTGGTTGAGCAGTGGAACAGTCTGCCTCGGGAGGTGGTGGGTTCTCCTTCGCTGGACGTTTCCAAGCAGTGGATGGACGACCATCTTTCAAGTATGTTGTAGGGCTATCTTTCGGCTGTGCTCCTGCAGAGTGCAGGGGGTTGGACTAGATGACCTGCAAGGTCCCTTCCAACTCCAACATTCTATGATTCTATACCTGGTTTCTTTCTGTACTCTGGGGAGCGTTAACCCAGGCTTCTCTGAAAAAGGAGCTCGGAGGGGCTAGGCGCTGTACGAAGATGAAAGCAAAGAGGCGGTCCCTGCGTGCAGTTGCACAGCCCGGAAGAACAGGACACACACTAACAAGTGCAAAAGGCACGGGACACTGGGAGGTTTTGAAGCAGGGGTGCCAGCTAGCCTGGAGAAGAATGGCCCATCCCTCCCAACAGAGGATTAGTGCGTAGAAATGGGCAGCAAAGCTTTTTTTTGGCACTGGGGGAGAATAGTCAGCCTTTCTCACCTGGACTCAAGGCAAATGACACAGAGTGAGTCAGTACAGTCGAGAGGATGGAACATTTGATGAACAATGAAATAGGCTTTGGGTTCTAGACCCAGCCAGAAGTTTATAAGCAGAAGCGAGGCATATGTATTAACATGACACATTAACTAGTAGAATCATAGAATGCTAAGAGCTGGAAGGGACCCTGCAGGTCATCTAGTCCAACCCCCCTCTGCACTCTGCAGGAGCAGAGCCGAAAGAGAGCCCTACAACATACCTGAAAGAGGGTAGTCCAGCTTCCGCTTGAAAACGTCCGGCGAAGGAGCATCCACCACCTCCCGAGGCAGTCTGTTCCACTGCTCAACCACTCTGACAGTTAGGGAAGTTTCTCCTGATATTCAGCCGGTTATCAACTCCCTGGTAATTCCCACCCATTAGATTGAGTCTTGCAATCCAGAGTGAGAGAGAATAGATCTGCTCCATCTTCTACACAGCAGCCCTTCAGATACTTGAAGACTGCAAACATGTCCCCTCTAAGCCTTCTCTTTCCCAGGCTAAACAGACCCAACTCTTTCAGCCTTTCCTCGTAAGATCCACAGTCCCTAATAATTTTTTCCAAGCAATTTCCCAGGAAGCTTCTAATAGAGGGTCAGGACTTCCTAGCCGCAATTTCTGTGTGTCATACAAACATCTTCCAGTAGTATTAATGAATAATTCATTCTCCACATACACATTAATGAGACAATATTAGGTTGTTCGGATGATTGAAGGTTTGTTCGGATGAAGAGAAGAAACGGAACTCAATCCAGAGGTTCTCGTCAGCTAGAATGAGACAATATTAGGACTGTTTGAAACCCTTATTGAAGGTTTGTTCGGATGAAGAGATGAAACGGAACTCAATCCAGAGGTTCTCGTCAACAATCACAATAACTTCAGCAATCACAATAACTTTATGTATTTTAAGAATCACAACAACTTCATGTATTCTCATCAACTGTATTTATTGATACAATGATGTTATTTACAGGTATACTTTGAGATCAAAATATACTTGATATAATGTTTGAATATATTTAGCGTCTTGCATACTTGTCAGATCTAAGGCTTGCCCAAGGTCATCCAGGAGCTGGAAGTGGAAAAGTGGGGAATCAAATCCGGTTCTCCCAGATTAGAGTCTGCACATGAAGAAGAAGAAGAGGGGGAGGAGATTGGATTTATACCCCACCCTTCACTACCCAAAGGTGTTTCAGAGCGGCTGACAAACTCCTTCCCCTTCCCCACCCCACAACAGACCCCCTGTGAGGTCGGCGGGGCTGAGAGAGCTCTTGACAGAAACGGCTCTTTTTCAAGGACAGCTCTTATCAGAACTACGGCTTGCCCAAGGTCATCCAGCAGGTGCAAGTGGAGGCGGAAGAAGAAGAAGAGATTGGATTTATACCCCACCCTTCACTACCCAGAGGAGTCTCAGAGCGGCTTACAAACTCCTTTCCCTTCCCCTCCCCACAACAGACACCCTGTGAGGTAGGTGGGGACTGAGAGAGCTCTTGACAGAAACTGCTCTTTTTCAAGAACAGCTCTTATCAGAACTGTGGCTATCCAGCCAGGTGCAAGTGGAGGAGTGGGGAGTCAAACCCGGTTCTCCCTGATTAGAGTCCACGCACGAAGAAGAAGAGGAGGAGATTGGATTTCTACCCCATGGCCCTTCACTACCCAAAGGAGTCTCAGAGCGGCTTACAAACCCCTTCCCCACCCCACAACAGACAGGCACCCTGTGAGGCAGGCGGGGCTCAGAGAGCTCTGACAGAAACTGCTCTTTTTTCAAGGACAGCTCTTATCAGAACTATGGCTTGCCCAAGGTCATCTAGCAGGTGCAAGTGGAGGAGGAGTGGGGAATCAAACCCGGTTCTCCCAGATCAGAGTCCGCACACTTAACCGCGACACCAAAACTGGGGAAGCCACCTCCAGTGCAGCTCAGAGCCTGGAAGCCAGCACGGGTGGGCAGCGTGAGGACAGCGTAGCCAGAGGGGCGGTGGCTGTGTGACAGGCGGATGGTGCCACCACTCCAAGCAGAGTTATAGCCTTTCCTCTGGGGGGGAAGCGCAGGACAGGAGGGCCCCTGGCGGGATGTGGTCCGCGGGGTCGCGAAGAGTCGGACTCGACCGTGGGACTGAACAACAACAGCAGCGAGCGATGAAAGGAGCGTGTGCCCAGAAGGCTGTAACTGTGCCCAGGGCAGTGGTGTTTCCAATTAGCGAAAACTGTAAAGAATTTCCCCTCAGCAGCGATGGGGGGGGGAAGCGCTCTCTTTGGACCCGGGTGAGAAGAGAGAGGTTGGACAAGAATGGCCATCGAGAGCAAATGGAATCCTGAAGTGGGGGTGGCCGAGAAGACGTGAGCAAGAGCAGAAGACATGCACCCTCCCCTCTCAGATGGGGTGGGGTTGCCACCAAGGCTCCCTCTAAGCTGCGGAGCCTCGTGAGCAAAGATTCTCCATTGTGAGCTACTGCCATTAAAGTTGTGAGCGAGCGATCTGGTTGTTGCCTCAATTAGTCTGCTCTGGAGCCCCATCCTTTCCTGAGCGAAGACAAAAATGTGTGAGCCGGAGGCTAAAAAAATGTGAGCTGGCTCACACTGACTCAGCTTAGAGGGAACACTGCATCTAAGCTGTGGAGTCTTGTGAGCAAAAATTCTACTTTGTGAGCTCCTGGCACTAGAGTTGTGAGCGAGCGATTGGGCTGCTGCATCAATCAGTCTGCTCTGGAGCCCCATCCTTTCCTGAGCAAAGACAAAAATGTGTGAGCTGGAGGCTAAAAAACTGTGAGCTGGCTCACACTGACTCAGCTTAGAGGGAACACTGGTTGCCACCCTCCAGGGGGCACCTTGAGATCTCAGCGATTACAGTTGATTCCCAAATGACCAAGACCGGTTCCTCTGGAGAAAACAGCTTCCTTGGAAGGTGGACTCCGTGGCCTTGTGCCCCACTGACGGCCCCTCCCCTCCCCAGGCTCCACCCCCCCAAAATCTCCAGGTATTTCCCACCCTGGAGCTGGCAGTCCTGGAACATAAGAACATAAGAGTCGCCAGTGTTGGATCAGGCCAAAGGCCCATCCAGTCCAACACTCTGGGTCACACAGGGGCCAAAAATACCAGGTGCCATCAGGAGGTCCAGCAGTGGGGCCGGGAAACCAGAAGCCCTCCCACTGTTGCCCCCCTCCCAAGCACCAAGAATACAGAGCATCCCTTGCCCCATAGCCCCTATCTAGACCTTGTGGCTAATAGCCACTGATGGACCTCTGCTAATTATTTAGCAAAAACTAATTATTTTTTAATTAGTTCGCATCCAGTCCAACACTCTGGGTCATACAGTGGCCAGAAATACCAGGTGCCCTCAGGAGGTCCCCTGGATCAGTGAACGCCTCCTCTGTGGGTCCTCCTATAGTTGTCAAGTGCTGGGGGGGAGGGGCATGGATAATTCTGACAGCACCTCCTTTTCCGGGATGAAGCAGTACGGTGGGGGGGGGGGCAGATTCTCAGGTTACTTGACTATATAAGAACACTAGCAGCCAAGCCTGTTGTAAAAGCTGGCCGCCGAGCTTCTGCTGCTCTGCGGAGGCCTGCTCGGGTCGGGCCAGTCTGCATGCTCAGAGCGTTTGTCTCCCCAGACCGAGCGGGGTTGCCTCCTGCCCGCCGCCTTGGGGAGACCCCGCCAGGGCCAGTTGTGGGGAAACCAGGCCGCCGCTGCTGCATCATGGCAAATGCGAGACCCTTCGGGGAGGGAAAGCAACTGTCTTCTGAGGGGATTTGTGGCCGGCGCTGCTTCTGTGGGCGAGACTCAGGCAACGCAGCCAGTTGCAGCCAGTGGATAGGGAGATGTTCTGAGTGACACATCAGGGAGCCAAATGATTTGGGAGCGTGTGGAATGTTCTGGAGGGTGCCACTCCAAAACACAATTATTATATAGAGAGGTAAGAACATCAGAGAAGCCAGTGTTGGATCAGGCCAGTGGCCCATCCAGTCCAACACTCTGTCACACCGTAGCCCAATATACCAGGTGCCATCAGGAGGTCCAGCAGTGGGGCCATATGGAGGACGGTGATTGGAGCTCCCCCTCCAGATTCACCCCAGGCTGTTTATGGAAGAGGCACAACTGGGAATACTTCTTTGCTCTACAGTAATCTGTCGAACTCACTGCCAGCGGTGGTTGTGACTGCCAAGAGCACAGATCGTGTTAAAAGGGTGTGGGGCAGATTCATGGCTTCTCCCTCTCTCTTTCTCTCTGCAGAGCCGTGGGGTCCTGCCCTATTTTGCCAACTTCCGGCTCCTCTCAGAGCTGTCCACGCCCTTCGTGAACCTCCGGTGAGTTGTAGGACGAGGCAAAACGGGCTGATGAATTCATAGGGCTGCATCAGCCACACCAGATGTGGGTCTAGGGGGAGAGATGCTGGGACCCGCCCTGCCCTTCCCCCCACATCCAGAGCCAATGGAGAAACCCCTCCTTTCAGGAGCTCCCTTTAAACTCCCCTTCGCACACACACCCATAAGCTGTAGCCGCCCCCCCTCCTGATGCCTTCCCACCTCCAGGTGTTCAGGTTTTTATTCTGTACCCACCGGGGTTAGAAATTTGATACAGTTTAAAAGTAAAAAGCTATTTGCCTCTCTGCTGTGTTGGACCAATCCCTGACCTGGATAGCACAGCGACCCCGATCTCGTCAGCTCTCGGAAGCTAAGCAGGGTCAGCCCTGCTTAGTTCTTGGATGGGGGACCACCAAGGAAGTCCCAAGATCCCTACGCAGAGGAAGGCGACGGCAAACCACCTCTTGTCTCTCGCCCTGCCCTGGATGATAGCCTAGGCTAGCCCAATCTCTTCAGATCTGGGAAGCTAAGCAGGGTCGGCCCCGGTTAGTAATTGGGTGGGAGACCACGTCTGCCTGGCAGTCCAGGGTTGCTACGCAGGGACAGGCAACGGGAAGCCACCTCTGCACATCTTGCCCTCAGAACTCCATGGGGCTGCCGTAAGTGATCTGTGACTTGACGTCGAGAAGAAAGGTTAGACCTTATCTTCTTTGGCGTACGGCATCTAATGTGGAGTTGCATCTCAGGCATTCAAGCTGCTCTTTCTATTAAAGGTAAAGGTAAAGGTTCGCTTGCTCGAAAGCCAGTCGAGTCCGACTCTAGGGTTGCGGTGCTCATCTCCATTTCAAAGCCAAAGAGCCAGCGCTGTCCGAAGACATTTCCATGGTCATGTGGCCGGTATGACTAAACACCAAGGCGCACGGAATGCTGTTCCCTTCCCACTGAAGTGGTACCTATTTATCTACTTGCAATTTCTTGCTTTCAAACTGCTAGGTTGGCAGGAGCTGGAACTAGAGACGGGAGCTCCACTCTTTCTATTGGCCCTGGATAAATGCTGCCACCATGACAAGGGATTTAAGGAGCAAACATTCTCTCTCACACACACACAAACACACACACATAGACCATTCAAGCCCAGCCTGCTCAAAGAAGGGCCGTGTCTTTCTCCACTTGGAGATGCGCGGCTGACTCCTGTGTTCCTTAGAGCTTGGGTCCCCACCAACACTCCCTCTAAGCTGCGGAGTCTTGTGAGTCAAAATTCCACTTGGTGAGCTACTGGCATTAAAGCTGTGAGCGAGTGATTTGGCTCCTGCATAATTTAGTTGGCTCTGGAGCCCTCCTTCCTGGGCTGAGACAAAAAATCTGTGAGCCAGAGGCTAAAAGGCTCTGACATAGCTCACACCAGCTCAGCTTAGAGGGAACACTGGTCCCCACGTCACAAATCTGGGCCTGGGATATTGTGGGATGGGCTTCTTTGCAACCCTGCTGTGTGTTAAAATTAAAAATAAGATTCTCTTGCTTCTGCGTTCGATGGCTAGATTAAAGTCGAGGAGCACCTCGGAGACCCACAAATATTTTAGGGTAAGAGCTTTTGAGGGGCAGAACTTCCTTCGTCAGACTCTTGAAAGTTTACACCCCCAAATTCTTGTCGGTGTCAATGAATTTTTGTTGTTGTTGTTCAGACGCAAGTCTAGGTCTTCTACAGCAGACAAATGCAGCCACCCTCTAGAACTACGTTGCATAGCATATCCTTGGCACCTAGAAACACAGAGCCAACCTCTTGCACAATGCAGGAAATCGTGTATGAGCCAACTACCGCCCACACAAACCCCATGGCCCACAGTGACCTCTGCTCCATTTATTTAACTTATTTATTTATTCATTCAGTTTATACCCTGTCCTCCCTGCCAACCCCCCCCCCCCCCAGCACCACAGCCCGAATCGTCACGAGCGGATGGAGGAAAATCCCTTCTTGCCCCCATAATGGCCATCACAGTATTAGCCCGGGGACATAAAAAATGGCTGCAAAGAGGCCCTTCCTGCCCTTATCTGCCTAAATCTAATCATCTAATACTAATTTGGGTATGTATTTATTTACTTTCTTCATTCATAGCCTGCCTTTCTTGCTGAGGTTTGAGGCAGATTACAATTATTATTTTTTTAACAAAATGTTGCTGTATAACGGTATCCAGCAATACAAAAAAGTGAGAGACTGGTAGCGCCTTAAAGACTAACAGAATTTGCAGCAGGGGAGGAGCTTTCCAGTCTTTCAGGCGCGGCCGGTCTCTCGCTCTTTTCTTCTGCTAGAGACAGACTAACAGGGCCGCCCGTCTCGATCAGTATCCAACAGCAACAAGCAATCCATTGAACGGCTTAAAATCACACGCCTGTGCCCTGTATTATTTATTTTGTTTATTTATTTATTAGATTTTTACCCTGCCCTCCCAGCAAAGGCTCAGGGTGGCTTACAACAGTACAAAACAGTACAGTAAATAATAAAGCCCAATCAAGCATATGTTTAAAACCATAACTATGCAACTTAATAAAGTGCTAGCATTAACTCCTCAGGGTTCAGTCAGCATCATAGTCTACCACAGACGTCCCCGCAAGCGGGCTCAGACTATACTTAGGGGACTCGGGGGGGGGGGTCGGGCTCGCTCTCCAAGAACTGTCAGATGTCGGTGGTGGCAGTGGTGGTGGCAGCTCCTTAGCCGAAGGCCTGGCGGAAGAGCTCCGTCTTGCAGGCCCAGCGGAACTGTAACAGGTCCCACAGGGCCCTGGTCTCCTCTGGGAGCTCATTCCACCAGAATGGAGCCGCCACCGAGAAGGCCCTGGCCCTTGTTGATGCAAGCCTGGTGTCCACCTGAACCACTCCATTTGGCCTTTTGCTTACATCCCTCTGACGGCTATCATAAAAGCAGAAAAACCAGGCCCTTCGTACTTGGGGGAACTCCCTGGTTAGGCAGACTTTTGCAAACCAACCGAAATAAAAGTACTCCAAGCTGCCTCGATGAGGACTGTGCCGTCTTTGGTAGGCACTAACTGGGGGAGGGGCTGATACATGGGGGGAGGTTGAGGGGGTGGGATTTAAAAATGGCTCCACTCCCTCACATCTCCTCCTTGGACTCTAGATGTCTTTGAATGTTCAGGTTCCTGTTTCGGGCTCTTCCACATTCACGTTTCCTTCGCTTGTCTGTCCCTGTTGCTTTCTTTTTCCCCCACGTGTGTTTTGCTCCCACTAGTGGTTGGTTCGGTATTACATTGCTGTATGACCCTCACCTGAATGGCCCAGACTTAGCCCGATCTCATCAGATCTTGGAAGCTAAGCAGGGTCGGGCCTGGTCATTACTTGGGTGGGAGACCACCAAGGAAGTCCAGGGTCTCTTCACAGAGGCACCTCTGAATGCCTCTTGAGGAGAGGAATTTTATGTATTATGAAGTTTTATCTTGTTGGAAGCCACCCTGAGCCAGCCTAGGCCGGAATGGACGGGATAAAAATCAATCAATCAATAAAAAATAAAAATAAATAAATAATAATAATAAGAAATACTATGAGAACCATCTTCAAGTACTTGAAGGGCTGTCCTATAGAGGATGGTACAGAGTTGTTTTTTGTTGCCCCAGAAGGTCGGACCAGACCCAACAGGTTGAAATTAAATCAGAAGAGTTTTCGGCTAAACTTTAGGAAGAACTTACTGACAGCTAGAGCGGTTTGGTGTTGAGCCAGTTTGGTGTCGTGGTTAAGTGCGCAGACTCTAATCTGGGAGAACCAGGTTTGATTCCCCACTCCTCCACTTGCACCTGGCTGGATGACCTTGGGCAAGCCACAGTTCTGACAGAACAGAGCAGTTTCTGTCAGAGCTCTCTCAGCCCCGCCTGCCTCACAGGGTGTCTGTTGTGGGGAGGAGAAGAGATTGGATTTATACCCCACCCTTCACTCGGAGTCTCAAAGTGGTTTACAAACCCAATCTCTTCTCTTCTTCCTCAGTGGAACAGGGTTCCTTTGGAGTTGGTGGGCTCTCCTTCTTTGGAGGTTTTCAGACAGAGGTTCGATGGCCATCTGACAGCAATGCGGATTCTGTGAACTTAGGAAGACCATGTGAGGGAGGGTAGGAAGGGTTGCCTCAGTGCCTAGTTCTCGTGGCCCCTTTCTTACACGCCCAGGGAAATGCTGATTGCCACTTTGTGGTCAGGAAGCAGTTTTTCTCCAGGCCAGTTTGGCTGGAGATCCTGGAGGTTTTTTGCCGTCTTCTGGGCGTGGAACAGGGGTCACTGGGTGTGTGTGGGGGGGAGGTATTTGCGAATTTCCTGTATTGTGCAGTGGATTGGGCTAGAGGACCCTGGAGGTACATCCCAACTCTGCATGTTTTTGTGCCAGACACAGAGCAATGTAATATTGAATCGACCACTAGAGGGAGCAAAACACAATGTGGGGGGGAAAAAGAAAAACCCCAGCAGTAGTGATACACAAGCGAAGAAAATGAGAGTGCGGAAGAGTTGATCTGGAATAATCAGGTTGGGATCTCCTGTAGTGAAGGGGTCGTCCCAGGCCTCTGTCTTTGTTGCCCTGCATTGCCTGACACACACACCCCGTTTGCAATTGTTTCAGCTGGTTCTTGGACACGGTTGGCTGGCCCCGTTCCTCCTGGCTGGCCCTGGCCAACGGCCTGGCCATGACCATGGTGTTCTTTGTGGTGCGCATCGCCGTCATCCCCAGCTACTACGCGCAGGTCTTCGCCTGGTACGGCACTCCCGAGTACGGACGCCTGGGCCTGAGCGTGCAGCTGGCCTGGATCGGGCCCAGCCTGGCTCTAGAAGTGCTCAACGTGGTCTGGATGTATCGCATCACCCGTGGCTTCTACCGGGCCTTCTGCCAGCCCAAACCCCACAAGACAGCATGAAGACAGAGCACCGGTGGCGGCACGTGCCTGACAACACCAGGGCAGAGCTGGAGGCCGTCTCTGAGTTATTTCCGAACTCCTAGGACTTTACCACTGGGGCCGGGCAAGGACCTCCAGGCCCGTAGAATGGGGGCATTCGGTCTTCTGTTCCGTCGGAAGGAGAGCTTTGCCATCCTGACCAGACTTGGCCACTGAGTCCGGGAGGGGGGCATCTGTCCGTGTGGTGAAGATGGACTCTCTCCCAGCAGCATCTGACACAGCGGGGCATGCTGTGGGGGTGCCCGGGGGGGTGGGG